CTAGAGTACTTGGTACTTTAGTGCCAAAATAGAAACCTTTGAGAACGTTTTAAGTCTCACGAACACACATATTTAAACCAACCTATGTACTTCTTCTTCTGCCTATTTTACCAGTCTAACATAATTGTTCGTTATTTTCCACGGACTCTTCATTCCCAACTTCATTTCCCAGCCAAAAAAAAAAAGCGTTAAAAGTTGTTGTGGCGACAAGCTCGATTCGCCAAATACGTGAATGCAAAACAGCGTGGTGTTTATATTTTTTTAGATATACATTATTTTAGAAAAAAAAAATAATGTCAGATCTTGGTTTAAGAAATATTCACGACCATTTATTAACTTTACCATAAATGACAAGGATAGTTAAAAATAATAACGGCTAGGTCGAAATACAAACGAAAACTTGGACTTTTTTTTTTTCAAGCGTCCGTAACCCTCAGGTTACTCGTTTTAAACATAATAGAGCGCAGGAAAAACAAACTTGTACTTCGAGCACCTACAGTAGTGTCACTTTTTAGGGTTAATATTTGCCAGTTTTTGTGTCATATTAAATGGAGTGGTCTGCAACGGCTTATTTCAGTGTTGCTGATGAAAAATTTATAAAGAATAATTGAGACCTGGAGTGTGACTTTTTAATTTGAACCCAATTATATTGGGGCTTTTTCTCGAGTTACATGCATCCAAATTATAAACATAAATGGGAAAAAAACTCTTTAATCCTGGATAAAGTAATCTGTCTTGGAGTTTGTTTTCTTGTGTAAACCGTTTGGAAAAAAAAAACAAACTATACTAGCTTGACAAATTTTTACAATTTTAATTACAGCCTCAGGGAGATTGAGAAATTAATTTATAAATGACACTTTCAGTCCAACTATACAAGATGAAATGTTGGTTTTTTACATTAAGAAAAGGCTGAATCCAATTTAGATATCACTTCATACTGACGTGCATTTTCGTTAAGAAAATGTGTATGTAGGCCAAACTTTGTATTTGACTCCCTTGGATTTTGGAAAGCAATTGATGTATCAGATCACGTATTTACTTTAAAGAAAACAAAATAATTATTAATTATACCTTGAACCTAAAATTTTATTCTCGATAGCATTGAAGAAGAAAAGCAAGACCAAAGTGAAATTGAATAATGCTCAAAACCTTTTGATCAAAAGGTTTTGAGCATTATCAATTTCACTTTGAACGTATTTATATCAAGGTTTCTTCGCACTGCAGGTGCTACATCACAGCGTCCGTTTGAATGGCGTTGCACCACGGTTTTCCACAAACGTTTCAAGAAGCTAAGTCATTCA